CCGCTTCCTCCCTGGCTTCCGAACTCTCCTATTCCTGTTATGCCAGCGGTCGGACCCTTGGGAAGTACTAGCACCCCTGCTAGCAATGGAACTGCTGCATTTCCCGGAGTAAAACCTCTTATTCTTGATGAGCTGAATGAGACTACCAATGTCACCACTTCCCGAGTGAATAACACACCGATGGAGGTTAGTGAAGCTGCTGAGGATCTTTGTCGGGACTCTTCTGCATCTGATGGAGGTGGTTTTACCGAACCGCGCACCCGAGCTCAGAAAGCTCGTGCGGCAGCCTCTGCTGGTCAACGAAGGTCTCCGCGTCTCAGCAGGGCTCCCAGGCCATCTGCTGATGACTCAATGAATGAGGAGTCTCGAAGGTCGTTTGTGAGATTCGTTGCCACCACAAAAATGCCACATCGATCTCCGGGGGGCAAAGAAGAAGTGTCAGATTATCCGAGGGTGGTTTGTACGGCTTCAGGTGACAGAAACGATCCTCGCACTGAGGCGGTCTCGGCATATTTACAACTTCTTCGATGTCTGGGACGCTCTTTTAATCTCCTCACGCAGCATGACTACAAAAGTGCCGTTGCTGTCCTATCCGAATTGCCTTTTGAGCATCTTGCCACCGGCCGTATGCTTGCATGGGCCGCTAGAGCTCATGTCGATGCCGCTGACTATCCCAAAGCTCATCGCATTTTTAGCGAACTGAGACGTCTCGAGCCATGGCAATTGTATGGCATGGACCTCTACTCTACCGTGCTCTGGTACCAAGAGGCTGAACAGGAGCTCTCTCAACTGGCAGGCGACCTTCTCACATTGGATCGCACTGCTCCAGAGCCCTGGACTACTGCCGGTAACTATTATTCCCTTCAACGCGAGCATGACACTGCGATTCGCTTCTTCCGTCGAGCTATGCAAGTCTGTCCTACGGACGCCTACGCATGCACTCTCCTAGGGCACGAGTACATCTCAGTGGACAACTTAGACCGTGCAGCCTCGGCTTTTCGACACGCGCTGCGTCTGGACGAGCGTAGTTACAGTGCTCGATTCGGCCTGAGTAATGTGTACTTCAAACAGGATTATTTTGGTTTGGCGGACGCGCATCTCGTACGAGCAGTTAGCCTCTTTCCCAACTCTTCCCTCCTACTCACTCACTTGGGTGCGATCCGAGCACGGATCGGGCGATTAGATGATGAGCCGGGGAGCGCGATCGATTGTCTTAACAGGGCGGTCAATTTGAATCCCACAAGTCCGATCGCTCTATACCATAGGGCCTGTGTGCTCTCATCGCTGGGACGTTATCAGGTGCGTTTTTTTCCTCTTGCTTGTGGTAGTTTGAAAATGAATATTGTACAGTGGTATGTGTTTTAACTGATAAGTAAACTTAAAGGTTTCAGTAGTTGGTAAGTGAACCACATCAGACGGTAGTAGTTGTATTCACAGGAAGCAACTTTGTGAAATTTGGAGGTACATGTTTCATCATTCTAATAACGATGTCTGTTTATAAGCGATAGTGCTTCTACATGTTAAAAATAATACGGAGTAAAGGTTAGATGATAGTTTTTGCTCTTTGTTTTCCAATCTTGTGTTGGCGGAAGGTGCTCCGGAATGTATTCAGCTCCCAAAATGCACGTATGTGTGACACGGCTCTCGAATATTTACTCTTTTTACGGCGCATACTTTTATCTTTTAGTGGGAAAATGTATGTTATATTCTTAGATTTTGGGCTACAGTGCGCAGCCACTCTCATATTGTCTACATTTGTTTAAAAGCGCTGCTCTGGGCTTTCAGCTATACATAAGATTGGTACAAGTACTTGAAGTAAATTGTGATTGGTGTTCAATTGCCTGTTGCTAGCATGAATGCTCTGAGGAAAGACCCTCGTCCAACCGACAACCGTTTGTTCAACTGTTATCAGTACCTGAGGTGCCAGCTAGGGAGTACTAATCGCAATCTCCTCCACTACGAAAATTTGGATTTTACTCTTGGCTCTCAGTTTAGTGTAATCTTTCCAAAAAATATTCTGAGGTAACTAAATACTCTGCAATTAACCTCTTCATTGCAATAATAAGTGCATTTGAGGGTGTATGGATTATTTCAAAGGATCCAGCATTTTAAGACTGATGGGCTTTCATGCCTCTGATGAAACGTAGTCATTATTTCGTTTTTTTTTATTATATCAGGATGCAATAGAAGAGTTAGAGCGGTTGATGCTGATAACTCCACATGAGGCGATGATCTACTTTATGTTGGGCCATGCCTATCAGAAGGTGGGCAACTCCCCCCAAGCCATGATCTACTACTCCTGGGCCATGGAGCTCGATCCAAAGGGTGTGAATACCAACCTGCGTGATATAATGACTAGTGTGCCCACAGGCCGCCAGCAGCCTTCTCTCGGTCCCTTCGCCTGTGCTATTAGCACCTCAACTTCAGGTCCAGGAGCGTCAGAGGCATCCACCTCTGCACCAATCATAACGGGTCTCGCCTCACGTTCGCATCATCGACGTGGTGGAGCTGGTGGTAATGCCGGACGCTCGCGTCGCTCCACCCGGGGCCGGCAAGCCACTACTCGCGGTCCTCCGACTCGCCGTCTTTTCCTCACGTCTACTCTTTCCACTGCTACAACGGCTGTCGCCACCCCTACCAGTAATGATGGCGAAATCACGGAAGAAGTCCCCGCTGGTGGCTCCTTGGGAGGGATGAATTTCTCCTTATTCCCCGACGGTGAGACTGGCGGAAGCATTTATCGTTTTCCGTGGAATCGGCGAAGAGGCACTGTCCCGTTAGGAAGCGGGGTCGGGGAAACGGAAGGCGAGGGAGATGCCGAGGCAGAGCCAGAGGAAAGCGAAAGGGAAGGGGATGGAGAGATCGAGGAAGAGACTATGGATATGGGTGATGCTTAGCATCCACTTCTCTTTCTTTTCTCCGGAACAAATGTCATTTCACCCTGTGAATTTTTATGAAACATTTTACTGACGTGCTGACACGGTCTCATGTGTATGTGCGTGCGTGTATAACGTCTCCCTCTCTCCATATATACATATGCATTCATCAACTCCTTCCATCGGCTTTCACTGAACAAACGAACTTTATCAGGAGGTGTAGTTTCGTTATTTGATGTACTGACAAAAATACAACTTTGAATTGAAAGTCGTGGCAAATGTTTACGTTTCTTTTCTTGCGTGAAATGTGTGTAAGTGCGGTCCACCACCGTGCTGACAGGCTTTTGGGAGTTAGTTTGTTGAGAATAGCTTTAAGTGCTTTATTTACAGTTCATGTTCATCCCTCTGCCGGGCTGCCACTTCCTATTGTCATTAGAAATGCATAGGCGGGTTGGACGACTGGAAAGGGGAGGTGGAATGGGGACTCGAGTGTTTTGATGCTTCAGGATCAAGTACTTCCATAGATGTGGAATCGGCAACTAGGTACCTTCCTGGGGGCGTGTTAAGGATCAAAGGTTGTGGTGTTTGGTACTGTATCAAACATTTTATTTTCAATTTCATCTTCTGCCTACATTGACCAATCATAACCACGTTATGTTCTCCAGTGAGCCAATCACCTTGGACTCGTTTATGCACAGTTAGCCAATTAAGCTTAGGTAACCTCTTTTGTGCTCTAACAGCGTGTTTTCGGCAGAATTGTAACTCAAAATCGCCTTTTTTAGTTTGATGATAAAATTAGTTGCTTGAGTACTGACGCTACTGTAGTGGTGATAGTAGCACTGTTTTGCATCATGAAATTTGCAAATGCAAAGAAGGCTGCTCAAACCCCAACTCAATGCATTCGCCTAAAGGCATTGTACAGTCGGTAGATTAATCATTACTCGCCATTGACCCAAAGAAGAGCGCCACTTCCTAGAACCGGATTTGATTTGAGTAGAAGATGCAAATTTTACATGCGCCTATATATTTCATGCGAGTCAAAAGTCACTGGATCGTTAGGTGGTATGGCTGCGCATCTTTTGTAATAAGTGTCATATACTTAGCGCTCAAACTATGCACCAAGTAAACTATCCATTTCAACTAAAGTAACTGAATACACCCACTTCTTAAGGCTTAATTCTCACTCGAAAGTAAGTTCTAGAGGAGACATTAAAGTTTCATACATTTTTCACAGCATATTTTTAAAGGATTGGCATATTTTAGGATACTCTAAGTAAACTTCGTGAAAACAAAAACCAAGACTTATTTTTCTGGCAAAATTTAAGGATATTTTGCTACCTCACATGAATATTGGATGATTGAGATAGGTTTCAAGAAAAGAGAATATCATTGTTTTAATAAGTTGGTCTCCAGACAGGCATCCTAGTGTCCAGATAAGTACTTAAAGCCACAGAAGTAAAATAAAATTGATTTATCGAATTCGGATGGTGGCCTCGCCCACCCCGAGCACCAAAGAGGTCACTCTCAAAATAGGTGCCACCAAATCTACTGCCATAGTCTTAGAGGAGAATCACGCTTTGCGGACCAAAAATGATTGGCACAATCTCGTCCCAAACGACTCGTAGGAGAACGTGCTAATGTGGTGAGGAAT